TTTTTTTCTGCTCTTACCGTGAGTGAATTTGTTCGCCACTTCACCATATTAGTTAAGCACTACGAAAGTTTTGATGGCACAAGCGCCTGAGCACGACGAGCTCGCTTTTTTCTTCTTAGTTGTGGAACTTAATAAAAGTGGGAAACAGTTTTGTGTCCAGTAGATTCAGTTACTTTGGTACTTCAGTCCAAACTCTGGTTTCTGGCAACACAAGCAGCAATTCCATTCAAGTTCCAACTCGTTTCCAAGTTTCTACACTGTTTCCTTCCTGGGATCTTTATTTCAAACTCAAAATGGACCAACTTCTGATCAAATGCCCAAAGTGTCCCCGATTGCCTGCATGCATTTGCAAGAACAGCACTCCGATGAATAACTGAGGACAAGAACAAGCATCGTGCTGGGAACAAGTCTGCCTCACCTCATCTCAAAAAGATTTCCAGCTGGACTCCCGTCTGACATGAACCACTTTCCCTCACCGAAGTTATGAAGCATTTCTTCCTACTGTGATGAAAAAAGTCGAGCGGGTCTGTTGAATTTTCCTCCTCCTGTACCGAGCGTCGATGCTCCGAAAGCCTTTTGATAAGCGCCCGTCCAAACGGAGCCATTGTTCAGCACTACTCCAAAAACAAAGAATTCCACCAATGTCCGCCGTGCCTGCCGTCGCTTGCACGGATCACAAAAACGCTCTTTCAAAGTTGCGTTTCGTCTCTTTGGTTCGCTTCATTCCACTTTACTCTCACCTTGTATGGGCCATAAATGTTACCAATAAATAACGACAGCAGACACCGCAGCCTTCAAAATGATTGTGTGAAAAATGACGACGGCTGTCATATCGACCGCCACGCAGCCAACAGCCCACTTGTGAAACAAACGCGGCTGTCAGATGCTCGTCAACCCTAAATAAAAATGGACTGAAGACTGATGCGGCCAACAGTGAAGCCTGATCACGTGAAACCATTTGCAGGAAACACGTGACACTTTGATCAGTCGGATGGATCCTTTCGACATGTTTCAGCGTTGCTGTTTTTGTTCACAAAATTATTAACGTAGTTTAACTCTATTATTTACGACAAATATCTGATCTTTGTTCATCTGTCAATGACAGTGACGAATGGAAACAGGCAGGAGAATTCAATTCTCTTCTATGGGATGACATCCTTCCATCCATTTTTTAATCTGCTTACCTTCACGAGCGTCACGGGCGTGCCGGAGCCGTTTTCGGGCGGACGGGTCAGCCCTGAACCAATCGCAGGGCACACATCGACGAACGAGCATTCACCCTCACAATCACACCTTGGGACAATTTGGAGTGCTCCATGAACCTGCCTCGCATGCATGTTTTTGGAATGTGGGAGGAAACCGGAGTACCCGGAGAAAACCCACGCAGACCCAGGGAGAACATGCAAACTCCACATAGGAAGGCCGGAGCCGGAATCGAACCCTGCACCTCTGCACTGTGAGGCCGGCGTGCGAACCGGTTGTCCACCGTGCCTCCCTATGAGATGACAGAACGTACAATTAAATGGTCGGTTAACCACATTCAACAGAATTTTCACTTTATCTTCAACGAAATTCGGCCAAGATGTCACATTGAGTCAATTTGTCAATAATTCAGAGCAAAAAGTTTTGGTGTTTTTTTTTTTTTTTTTTTTTTGGTGGTGGGGGGGAGGAATGAAACCCCCGCAAAGCACCGAGACAACATGCAAACTCCACACAGGAAATCCTGAACCAGATCCTCCGGTCTAGACTGTGAGGCAGACATGCTAATATCAAGGTCACTGAGTTGCCTAGCTGCAGACGGCAAACTTTATTTCCTCACGTTGCGTGCCGGCATGTTAATTCAAATGCAAAAAGTACCAAGTGTCTCAGAGCCAGACCGTCCATTTGTAAAAATGCATTTATTTATTTTTTTTATACTCTCTTATACTCACACATACTACATATTTGATCTCGCAGTAATGGTAAAGCAATGGTAAGTCATACACGTTACTCTTAGTATAATCACGGTCTCAGACTGTGCCAATTAAAGCAACATTAGTACTCTGAGTCCCGGGACATGCTGTAATAGCACCTTTTAGTTTGTTTAATTGAATTTGCAAATTTGACTTTCACAAACCACTGGACATGTTTAGTGGGAAAAGGCTGCTTGTAAACATGCCGGCCTCTGGAGTTAATGATCCCGCTAATGACTGGGCGTGTGAAATACCTTTCAATTCCCGAGGCTGGATTTTCAAGGTGAAATGAGGACTCACGTTTCACTTCCTCTCCCACGGGTGTTGCAAAGTAATTATGTATTTATTGCTTATTCATCGCACTCGGTGCAGGACATTCATTTTTATTCTAGTTGACTAAATAAGTTATTCTCCACAGCTTGTAAGTTTGAAACTTGATCTTGAAAGGGCTTGACAATCGTTTGTGCCTTTGTTTGCAGTGCACCTGGGCTGCCTATTGACACGGTCCGCTGGGATTTGTGCAGTTTACCGATGAGGTCCAGCTCAGTTGATATCATCATCACGGACATGCCCTTTGGGAAGAGGTAGAAAATCAAGGCGCACATACCAAGTTTTAAAACAGCCAGGTTAAAAGTAATCCAAATGGAGTGAAACAGCCAACCCAGCATTGGGTCATTGCTGGGTTATTTATACCCAGCGCATGTTAGGCTCAAGATTTTGATCCATCAAGGGGTAAAAACTACGAGACGCGGGTTATCAGGATAGCTGTGGTTCTGAATAATTTATATTATCATTTTATTAGTGTCCAAAATGGCGACTAGCTTCAGCCCTTCAACCCACCCAAATCCAATCTTCAACCGAACCTGCTGGGTCAAAATAAGAAACCCAAACTTGATATAAAAAAAAAAGTAATTCAATCTGCTCAAAATCCACACAGTGAGTAGGTTAGGAAAACAACCCAGCATTTTTCCACGTGAACTACCGGTATTTGAGAGGCAACTCTAATTATGTATAAAGATTAACGAGATGTGTACTTTTGAAGGATGGGCTCCAGGAAGAAGAACTGGGACCTTTACCCGTCCTGCCTGAGAGAAATGGCGCGCGTGTGCAGGCCGGCCTCTGGGAAGGCTGTGCTGTTGACACAGGACAAGAAATGTTTTTCCAAGGTATTTTCCTTGTCATGGCGAGTCATGACGCTTGTTTGGTCGATGGCGTCTGCCTCACGCAAATATGACTTCCACATAAAAACCAAATTAGAGAGGCTGTGGGTTCGTTCATGTTTGCATGATGACATCCCATAAACTTGATGGCATCAAGGGAGTGACCGATCTGTGAATGAAAATGCGATGAAAGGAAATGGAAATGAACTCTTCTAGCGAATTTCACCGCAGTGTGAGCTCGGCATAGATCTGCGATGAAAGGAAATGGAAATGAACTCTTCTAGCGAATTTCACCGCAGTGTGAGCTCGCGGCATAGATCGAGGCATATCCATCTGTCTTTGCCACGACGACACCTGAACAGTCCTCTCGAGGGAAGCGCAGCCTTTCCCGGGGAAGCGCTCGCTCCTCAGGTGGTGTTGACGGCGGTTTAATTCGCTTCTGAAACATAAATCATTCACACTCCGTTGCTGCCACATTCGACGCTGTGTCTAAAGATGTATCCGTGACGTGGATTTATATGCTCTGCAGGCTCTCTCCAGAATGGGGGGATTGTGGAGGAAGCAGCACACTGTTTGGGTCAATGTCGGTGGTTTACACGCCGGAGTGTTCCTGCTCAGGCGGACCAGCGCCTTGTTTGGCCAAACTCCCGAAGACATCTATGAATCACAAGACTCGACACGTACACAAGGAGATCAGGACGACAGCCAGCGTTAGGTTACGGTTTTGCCTTACACTATCCCACATATGTTGGATGAACATACTTTAAGATTTTCTTTGCTAATTTTAAACTTTTTTTTTTCTCAATTTTCATATCAAGTGGCCAAATCTTGTTTTTTGTAAACAGGCAAACAAAAAGGAAAGCCTTTGTTGACTTCACTTCTAATACAAGAGCAAACCGTGAGAAATTGGTTCTCATTAGTATGCAGGTGTACCTACTGAAGTGGCCCACGAGTGCACATTTACTGTTAGGCAGCAAGTTAAGGTTTCATCAATAAAAGTTTTTAAAAAAAAGCCGCTGTCATGGGAAGAGTCCCAAGTTGTACACTACTGGTCAAAGGTTTCCTCTCAGTTTCTCATTCCAGACCACTCTCCATTGTATCCATACTCTTGACTTTTAGTGCATGTTCAATGTGCAGTAAATGATTAAACTTATTTGAACCAGGAAAGAAGAACACACTGTGGAATTATATTCTCAATTTTCATATCAAGTGGCCAAATCTTGTTTTTTGTAAACAGGCAAACAAAAAGGAAAGCCTTTGTTGACTTCACTTCTAATACAAGAGCAAACCGTGAGAAATTGGTTCTCATTAGTATGCAGGTGTACCTACTGAAGTGGCCCACGAGTGCACATTTACTGTTAGGCAGCAAGTTAAGGTTTCATCAATAAAAGTTTTTAAAAAAAAAGCCGCTGTCATGGGAAGAGTCCAAGTTGTACACAACTAGTCAAAGGTTTCCTCTCAGTTTCTCATTCCAGAGCACTCTCCATTGTATCCATACTCTTGACTTTTAGTGCATGTTCAATGTGATGCAGTAAATGATTAAACTTATTTGAACCACGAAAGAAGAACACACTGTGGAATTATAAATCAAGATTTGCATGTAGTAATGTCTGTTGGACACATTTTCGACTGACACTTCAGTGTATGTGATATGAGATATGAATCCGTCCTCTCAGTTTCTCATTCCAGAGCACTCTCCATTGTATCCATACTCTTGACTTTTAGTGCATGTTCAATGTGATGCAGTAAATGATTAAACTTATTTGAACCACGAAAGAAGAACACACTGTGGAATTGTCAATCAAGATTTGCATGTAGTAATGTCTGTTGGACACATTTTCGACTGACACTTCAGTGTATGTGATATGAATCCAACATACGTGTTTTTGGAATGTGGGAGGGAGCTGAAGGAGCTGATTTCATCCACGCAGCACAAAACACAAAAACTGCAAAACAAAAAACAAAGCTGAGATTCAAACCCTTGAACCTCAGAACTGTAAAGCAGGTATGTTAACCATCCAGGCCCATATTGCTACGTAGCTTTGCAGTCCATTGCTCCCAAACTTTGGAATGCACTTCCTTTTGAGCTGAGAGCTGCCTCCTGTTGGAATTTGTTTTTTTCAGCAGCTAAAAAACATGTTTTGCCTGTACAGATTTTTCAGCATCATTTTATAGCAAAAATTCCAGATTTTTTTTTTTAACGTAAGTACAAAAGTGCTCTCGAGACTTTATGACAGTTGCATGATAAAGCTTCATCATCGTGTGATTTTAAAAAAATGAAACGAAGATGAATGGTTTTTAATCCCCCCCTTCATGTGACCTACAGCTTGTGCTACTCAATTGAATTGAATATTATGGTGGGGTTGAGTAAAAAATAACTGGTTGAAAAAGTGTGCGCACCCGCTTAAAACTAAATACGGCTGTGTTCAGTATCAACCGATCCTGTTCAAACTTCTGTTTGTTCCATCGGAGTCAGCACACAACTGCCACCGTTTAAAGTGCTACCGAACAACTCCAAATAGGCTTTTGCTGATAGTTTGATCAATTTGTTGTAGCAACAAGTGTTGAGTGACGCAGTCGGACTGGGCCAATTCGTTGGACGCGAGGTCGTGACGTTTGGAAGGAAGGAGCAGCCACCGGCACGCGCGGGTGGTTGTTGGCTGTTAGGCAAGTACCTTTTTAAAACAAGTGACAGGAGCGGCACGAGCACATACACGCTCGACCACGTCAAGGGCAACTTCCACACGAGATGATCTTCACTGTCTTCCTACTGGTTCAAGTCGTGCTGCTCTACTTCCTCGCCACGCACAGATCCAGGTTGGGGTTTTTTTTTTCCAGATGTCTCTTATCTAAAGAAGCTAACTTGCTTTTACCTGATGGCGCAGCGCTCTGATTGGATTTGACTTTGTGCTTCAGGTCCGAGAGGGATCCACCTCTTGACAAAGGCGCTATCCCGTGGCTTGGTCACGCAATTGAATTCGGAAAAGATGCAGCCAAGTTCTTGAATCGAATGAAGCAGAAGCATGGCGACATTTTTACAGTGAGTATATACGCCACTGAGAACTCTACTATCTCACGTGTGTAAATGAACATCTTTTAAGATGGACAAATCTATTCCAAAAGAGCGTTAAAATACAAACGGAAAGTTCCTTTGGGTACAAATCCCAACTCCCCAATATGTGAATAACATGTCCAGGTTCCGTGGTCGAAGCAAAAAAAAATTACCACATACTTTTTGTTGTTGTTCTTGTTGTTGAACACAATTTGTGGCTTCACTCATTATAAACTAAAATAGCAAAATACACCGTACATGAACATACACAACCAGCGCAATACAATCGCCGTATCCAACAACAGTGTTCAATTATCATCAACATTGTCATAATTATTCCTTTTTAATCTGTTCACGGTTGTGGTTGTAATTACCGCAGAGTACAATAGCACTGTGTCATGATGACAGCAGTCGAATACTTTGCTTACCGCATATGAGTTGTGTGTATATAAACAGTGCCTACACAATGTCAAGGCTATTTCCAGAAATATACCCATTAAAGAGGAGTGAATCTAATGACTGAATACAAAAAAATTAAACAGCATGTCAATAGTTTCTAGATCAGGGGTCACCAACGTGGTGCCCGCGGGCACCAGGTCGCCCTCGAGAACCACACCAATAGCCCGCCAGTGCTAGGATTGTGATTTGCTCGTAGAAATTATAATTTTAAAATGCAAACACGGGCCGTATTGTGAGACATCTTTAAGATGATCAGAGCCTGAAAATTAAAAATGATTAAGTATTAAAAATAACACATTCTAATATTATTAAATCTAATTTGTACAAATGTTATTTCAGACGTGTATCTATTTGGTGACCCCTGCTTTAGTGGAGTTCAGTGCTTAGGAAGTGCAGTCCACATGTTGACATATTGTTTCGCGAAACATGAAAAGTTGAACTGATAAAGCCACAGATTTGTTTAGATCAGTGATGTAAACTGACTTTCGACTTACATGTATATTGTGACTCTAGAATTAGATACTAATTGCATATTACATAACAATAGTGAGGGGGGAAAAAAATGTCAATTCGATTATTTTTCAAAATCGCTCAGCCCGACCGAAAAACATCCAAATGCTTAGTTGCCTCCCGCCACTTGATGCCCCAATTACTTCTGTCCTCATCATGTATTTGCGAATGACATTGTAGCTTCACGTATTTGCATCTTTGCGTCTCAGCAAGAAATATTTGTGTGTCCAGGTGCGTGTCGTCGGCCGCTACGTGACCGTGCTGCTGGATCCTCACGCATACGACTGTGTGATCAAAGACAGCGACTCGCTGGACTTTCAGCGCTATGCAGACGTGCTCATGGAGAGAATTTTCATGCTGCGCCTGCCGCATCATCAACCCACTCACACAAAAGCGCTGATGAAACGGTACGCCCTTGTCTCCTCGCTCCTCCTCCTCCCAAGGGCCCGAGGTCATGCCAGGTGTTCATGTTTGCTGATCTCCAATCATCTTGTTCCTTATAAACACTCGGGCTGTGTGGTTAAAATTAAGGACAACTATTTTTAGAGCTTCTGGTTTCACTTTTGCTCACCTGGCGTACACCTGAATTATGGGGAACAACCGTTTACGACGTGGGATAAATTCCAGCCCCACCCGACAGTAGAGGAAAATTAGGGTTATTAAAAAAATAAAACATGCAAATTTACTCCTCACCAAATACTTTTAACACATTTTACCTGATGATGCAAAAAAAACCCCAAAAAACAATGAATCGGATTAGAATAAATTTCAATCCCTCTTCAAAATCGATGTCAAATTGGCAGGGCAGAAAGTGCACAAACCTGTTCCTGGTTTGGTTCGTAACGTGTCAGAAAATTCCTAAAAAAATAGTTGTCAATGTTTTCCAACGTCAAAGCCGATGTTTACGAATGACTTGTTTTGGACACTCCCCTCCCCCGCAAAGGTCAGTCTGCCACACGGAGGACTACAGAAATCGGAGAGTATTACTGGTGGGAGGCTATAAATCTGCCATATGACGAGGGCACGAAAGATGAACCTTGATGTAGTCGGGGGTGGGGGGATTTTACGCTGATTGAATACTTTTGAAGGCGTGCCGCTTTTCTTTCAATCGATCGCTGTGTTGAAATCTGCAAAAATAAATCCCCCATGTTGCATGATCTGAGCGGAAAATGTAGGTAGGGCCAAGTCAATAGGCTGAGATGAATTCTTGTGACACAGAGTGCCTGTCACAACTCCATTAATCAGGAAGTTCTCGTTCTTGCTCAGCAGTTAACCGGATTTTCCTCCCTTCGAACGTACGCAGGCACTTCCTGGGAATGAATTTGGCCGCACTAAACGGCACCATGAGCAGACACCTGGAGGCCTTGTTGAAAGCCGAGATGCCTCCGAACCAGAAATACTGGAAACAGACGGAACTCTTCGACTTCTCATACGGCGTTCTCTTCAAGTCAGTCATATTTTCACCTTCCCACACGCACACACCCGCCCATGTCTCACTATGACAAAAGAACCTTTTACCAGAAAACTAAAGGGGGAAGCCCTGAAATTCCTGTCAAGGCAAAATTGATATTTTGTACCACGGAGAAGAGTGCTATAAACAAACCGGCCCAAATTGCATCCATCCATCCATCCATTATCTGATGCGGTTGACCTCACTGGGGTCGAGTGCGTGCTGGAGCCTATCGCAGCTGTCTTCGAGCAGTAGGCGGGGTACACCCTGAACTGGTCCCGCCCAAATTTGATTGATTAAAATAATTGGCACACATTTTAGTTTCTCCCGCCTTCTTCCATTTGCCTTGCACATACTCACAGCCGACAACGAGGCGCTCTAAACACCAGCTCGAAGTCCTGGTCCATTATCTCGCTGTGAAGTCTTGCTTTCTTTTTCTCCTTCTTCTTCTTTGTACCCTTGTTTTCCCTTCCTTGCACTTCCGCCTTTCCAACCATGATGTGTGTGCACTCGCTGCTGACAACAAGGCACACAAAA